TATACTATTCCCTAGGGGCCTAAGTGTAAAAAATAATTACTTTACAAGTCCCTACAATATTTACACTTTAGTCCTATTCTAGAATTCTCTACAAGTTCTAGGATAGCCTTTTTCAAAATGTCTAGGGAATTCTAGATTGTTCTACTAACCTCCACACAACTCTATATTATTCTCCCTTATTCTAGTGTCGAATTTAAATAGTGAAGTGGTGGGACATAACACTTACCTCCACTTTGGTATTTACTCTACCAGAAGGGTCTGATAGGTTTGTTGTTTATTTTGATGCTTCAAGGATTGGACTAGGGTGTGTTCTTATGCAAAATGGGAAGGTTATTCCTTATGCTTAAAGGAAACTTAAGATTCATGAGAAGAACTATCCTACCCATGACTTGGAACTAATGGCGGTTGGGTTTGACTTAAAGATATGGTGGCATTACTTATATGGTGTCCATGTTGATGTCTTTACCGACCACAAAAGTTTGCAATACGTGTTCAAACAAAAGGATCTAAATCTTTGACAAATGAGGTACCCTAAGTTTCTAAAGGATTACGACATGAGTGTTCTCTATCACCCCGGTAAGGTGAATGTGGTAGTAGATGCTCTTAGTCGACTATCAATGGGTAGTGTTGCTCATGTGGAGAGAGATAAAAAGGAGTTGGTCTGTAATGTTCATAGATTGGCCCGATTGGGTGTTCGATTGGTTGACTCCACCAAAGGCAGTGCTATGGTTCATACTGGTTGAGAATCATCTTTTTTGTTGGATGTGAAAGAAAATAAGGTCTTGATTCGATCTTGATTGAGTTAAAAGAAGCGGTGCTTAAAATGTCCGTTGAGGCTTTCTCCTAAGGGGGAGATGGTGTGCTTCGATATTAGGGTCGTCTATGTGTTCCTAATGTTGATGGCTTGAAAGAGCAAATCTTATCGAAAGCCCATAGTTCCTGATATTCCATTCACCGGGAAACACCAAGATGTATCGTGACTTGCGGGAGGTCTATTGGTGGAATGGAATGAAAAAGAATATTGCGGAATTTGCGGCTAAGTGTCCTAATTGTCAATAAGTGAAACTTGAGCATCAAAATCTGAAAGATTTTGTCCCAATATATTAGTATTCCTACCTGGAAGTGAGAAGATTTGAATATGGACTTCATTGTTGGTTTACCATGCACCTGGTGACAACATGATTCAATTTGGGTTATTGTAGATCGTAAGATGAAATAGGCTCATTTCATTCTCGTCAAGGTTTTTTATTCGGCGAAGGACTATGTTAAGTTGTACTTAAGGGAGATGGTTAGGTTGTATGGAGTGCCCCTATCTATTATGTCTAATCATGGTACCTAATTTACCTCTTAATTTTGGAAATATTTCCAAAAGGGCCTTGGTACTTATGTTAAGCTTAGTACGACCTTTCATCCTCAAACCGATGGACAAGCGGAGCTTACTATCCAAACTTTGGTAGACATGTTGAGAGCTTGTGTGATTAGCTTCAAGGGTAATTGGGATGATCATTTGCCTTTGGTTAAGTTTGCTTATAATAATAAATATCATTCAAGTATTGGTATGACTCTATTTGAGGGTCTTTATGGTAGGAGCCCATAGGTTGGTTTGAAGTAGGTGAGGTTTCTTTGATAGGTCCTGAGTTGGTACACGAGGATATAGAGAAAGTTTGGCTTATTACAGAAAGGTTGAAAATGGCTCAAAGTTGAAAAGTCCTATATCGATGTTAGAAGAAGAGACCTTGAGTTTGATGTAGATGATTGGGTTTACATGAAGATTTCACCCATGAAGGGTGTAATGAGGTTTGGAAAGAAAAGGAAGCTTAGTTCCCGTTATGTGGGCCCATATCAGATTTTGAGGCGCATTGGTACAGTTGCTTATGAACTTGATTTTCCTAATGACTTAGCATCAGTACATCCGATTTCCCATGTCTCTTTGTGAAAAAGTGTGTTGGTGATCTGACATCTATTGTACCATTGGAGAGTCTTGGTAAAAGAAAAGTCTTTCTCGTGTAGAAGTTCTGGTTGAGATTTTGGACCGCAAGTTAATAAATTGAAGAATAAAGAAGTTGCATCCGTAAAGGTCTTATGGAGAAATCAAAGGGTTAAGGGTGTTACTTGAGAGGCCGAGGCCGACATGATGTCATGTTACCCCCATCTCTTTTCTTCCGACCCTACTCTAGCTTGAGGTATTTAATTAGTTCCTCATAGTCCATTATCATGTCTTAGTCATTCTCATGTTTCCTCGTGCAAGCATTCTCATGAAAACTTGTTTTTGAGATTTTGATTTAGCTTTGATTGATTTCTTCATGATTATGTGCATTTGAGTACTATTTGCATGTATAACTTATGAAATGATGTTTTGAATATGTTTAAGCTTGGAGTTGATGTTACGCCTTGGTTATGTGTTGTTGATGAAGTTGCATTCTTGTTGGGCTGTTAGATCTCTTTCCCCACCCTTCTTATGTTGCCTTGAGTCCCATTTGAGAACGAATATTTCCAAGGGGGAGATATTGTAACACCTCAAAATTTGGAAAAGGAAGAAAAGATTTTTTTTGGATTGAAGTCTGATTTTACCGGTCCTATCTTCGAACCATAGAAGCTTCTACGGGCAGTAAATGACAATCGTAGGAAGGGGGAAATAATTTTTTCAAAGCCAGTCAAGTATCCTTGTACGATTCACCAGGACGGTTCATCATTCTATGTACGAGTCGTAGATAGGTCTCGTAGGTGAGTCACAGGCTTAGTGAAATTTTAAGCTTGAGGTTGGGTTATACGGTTGGTGTCTACGGTCCGTAGATGGGTTTACGAGTTGTAGACTGTGTTCGTCAAAATTGGTCAAAATTAAGTATCTTTGATTATTTCTACGGTTGACTAGGACCTACGGACCATAGGTGGAGTCCGACATTTATTTTAAAGGGGCTTTTGGGTCTTTTTATAATTGTTTTATCCCAATACTATATTGTTTTGCCTTTTACCCTAAGCCCTAGATAAAGCTTTTAAGCCCTAAATTACCTACTTTCAGTTCATTCTCCTAAAATCCCTAAACTTGACCAAATCCATCATCTCCAAATTCTCTCAACCTAAGGAAGAAGAAGAAGAGTTAGGGTTCTTCAAAGTCTCCAATCCTCCATTATTTTTGGGCTTCTAGCATCAAGGTATGTGTCCCATGGAGTCCATTGCTCCATGGGGTCCCCAAGGATTTCAACTTCCCAACTCAATTTTCAATTGATCAAATTAGGGTTTCAATTCAATAAATGTGGGTTTCATCTAATTATGATTGATTATAATTGATTAAGTCTTCTAATGCATGATTTGATGTTAATCTATGATATTTAGTTGAAATTGTTTTTACCCATGCCTAAATTATGCTTTTCAACCATGATTCTATGATGAACCATTGAACTATGAATTTTGAATTTTGAAGATATTCATGTTATAATGAAATGATTATAAATGGTTGGGGGATGCTGTAACACCCCGTATTAAAAAATGACCAAAATAGCAGATTTCCAGAAAGTTACAGGTGCCATCCACGAGGGCAAACCACGACCCGTGGATGGGACCACGGACCGTAGGTGTGGTTCGTGGATAGCCCTGCATAGGGATAGTCTAGAGGCCCAAGACCACGGCTAGATCTACGGACCGTAGGTCAGACCACTGCTGTCAGATATTATGTCTAGGTTAGTTGGGTCTTTTCCTAATTAATTAGTTTATATACTATGCCGTTTTGCCTATATTTAGAACCCCTATATAATTATTTTTACCCCCAAATTCACCCCATTTAATTCATTCTTCCTAAATCCCAAAAGAAAACCTATTCCTCTTAAATATTCTCTCTTTAGAACTTGAAGAAGAAGAAGAAGAAGATTCAGCTAGGGTTTGAAGCTAAGGATCCAAATTCTCCGTTGAATACTAGTAATTGGAGTCAAGTATGATAGTTTTCATCCATGGGTTCCTTCCACTCATGGAGTCTCCAAATTCCTCTACCTTAAATGGTAGAATTCCCCAATTGGCAAGGGTTTTCATCTAATACCATGGGTTCTATTGATTATTGGTATTAATGGTTTAATTATGTCTAAATATGCATGAATTAATGATTTACAATGCTTTTATGATTCTTCTCTTATGAACCCATGCAAACCCCCATGTTTTCCAAATTGTGGTCTCCTAGGGTTGGGTTGTTGGTTATGAAATATGAGTTTTATGATCTAAATCATGAAGTAATAGAATTACTTGAATTTATGATAAAATCCCTAATTATCATACTTAGTGCATTTTTGTACTAACGCACACTCCTTCCTACATTCTCCCAAATGTAGGGTTCGACAAGCAGGGTATCCATTCTAATGGGTAGAGCTTGGACTTGATCTCTTTTCGAGCTTGGTGAGTCCTCATGGTTCGAGGAAAATTTTTCCTTATTGTAGCTTCACTCTCGTATTTCCTTTTTGAACATGATGTATGGACTAGTCCCACTTTCATTTGATTGTAATAGATGGCTACGTTGAGACATTAGTTAGACTTCCACTTTTCCATGAAGTTGTTTTGGACTTAAATGTTGATTTACTCTTTAATGTTCTACTACTTTATATTATGAGGACTAAGTGTCTTGTATTGAGTCCTTCGGGGTTCTATACGTCATGTTACATCTAGGGGGTACCCCTGGGTCATGACAAACTTGGTAATCAGAGCACAAAGTTTAGAATGGTCCTAGGATGATGTCTCGTAAGCCACGTCTAGTAGAGTCTTGTTCATGAGTGTGAAGCGCGCCACATTTATGAATGAGAGGCTACAAGATGATTAGGAAACTCCACTTCTTTCATTACTCTTAAGTCGTGCCATAAAGTTTAACTCTATAAAGTCTCTCTTCTAATCCTTACCTTATGCTCTTCAGGATATGTCTTCTTGAAGGGCTTATATTAGAAGAAATGTGAGGGAGAACGTGGAACACTCCTCCTCAAGCTCCTCAAGTTCCTCAAGCTCCGACAGATCCTTTGGCTGAGAATATGACAAATGCAGAGGTTAGGTTGGCTTTTCAAATGTTGGCTCAAGCTTTGGCGACTCAATCCAATAGAGACGTTGTAGCTCCGGTGAATCCTAATGTGAATTCGGCGGCTTTAAGAGTAAGGGACTTTGCAAGGATGAACCCTCCAGAATTTTATGGCTCTAAAGTGGAAGAGGATCCTGAAAGGTTTATTAACGAGGTCTATAAGGTATTTGCTATTATGGGGGTGAATCCGGTGGAGAAGGTAGAGGTAGCTGCTGAACAATTGAAATATGTTGCTCAAGTATGGTATGATCAATGGAAGGGAGAGAGACCGGTAGGAGCAGGTCCCGTAGAGTGGGAAATGTTTAAATCAACATTTCTTAATAGGTTTTTTCCCCTCGAGTTGAGTGAAGCAAAGGTGCAAAAGTTCATTAACTTTGGTCAAGGAAGTATGAGTATGAGAAAGTATGCTTTAAAGTTCACCTAACTATCCAAGTATGCTTCAACTATGGTGGTGGACTCGAGGGCTAAGTTGAGTAAGTTTGTGACGGGTGTGTCTGACTTGGTAGAAAAAGAATGTTGTACGAAAATGCTCATCCATGATATGGATATCTCACGTCTTATGGTGTAACAAATTGAGGGATCAAAACTCAGGGAAAAGAATAGGGAGGTAAAGAGGGCCAAGACCGGTGATGGTAATTTCTCACACACAAGGTCCGATGGACAATGCCAACCTAGGTTTAGACAAAAGTTTTCCGGTCAAGGTTCCTCTAATGTTCCACCTAAGTTTAACAATGATAGGGTGTCTAACCCTAAACCTCAAATTGGTAATGGAGGTGGCTCTTCTTTAACTAGGTCTACATGTGCTAAATGTGGGAAGAAACATGATGGTAAGTGCCTAGCCGACACTGATGAATGCTTTAGTTGTGGGAATAGTGGAAAAAAAATGAGAGATTTCCCCATGCTTATGGCAATTGGAAGGGAAAGCAAACAAGCTCCTCCTAGCGGTTCAAATTCCAATGGTCCAAAGCAAAATCGCTTCTATGCTCTCCAAACCCGAGGTGACCAAAAGAGCTCTCCGGATGTAGTGACTTGTATGTTAAAAGTTTTTCAACATGATTTATATGCCTTTCTTGATCCCGGTGCTACTTTATCCTTTGTAACACCTTATGTGGCCATGAAGTTTTATATGCTCCCCAAAATATTGTTAGAACCTTTTTCTTTCTCTACTCTTGTTGGTGATTCTGTGGTGGCTAAGAGGGTTTATAGAAAATGTCATGTTTCCTTATCCCATAGAGTTACCCTCATAGATTTGGTAGAACTTGACATGTTAGACTTTGATGTCATTCTTGGGATGGATTGGTTGCATTCTTGCTATACTTCAATAGATTGTTGGACTTGAGTAGTCAGTTATCAGTTTCCAAATGAGCCTATCCTTGAGTGAAAAAGGGAAAATTCCATGCCTAGAGGTCAATTCGTTTCTTTTCTAAAACCTAGAAAGATGATTTCAAAAGGGTGCTTCTATCATCTAGTTAGGGTGAGGGATGTAGATTCTGAAACCCCTACTCTTGAGTCGGTCCCCATAGTTAAAGAGTTTCTAGAAGTTTTCCCTAATGATTTGCCTGGTATTTCTTCCGAGAGGGAAATAGACTTCGGTATTGACCTTCTCCCAGATATGTAACCTATTTATATTCCTCCTTATAGAATGGCTCCGATGGAGCTTAAGGAGTTAAAAGATCAATTGTAGGATTTGTTGGATAAGGGCTTCATCCAACCCAATATCTCTCTATGGGGTGCTCTGGTATTATTTGTTAGGAAGAAAGATGGTTCACTCCGTATGTGCATTGATTATCGGCAACTGAACAAAGTGACCATCAAGAACAAATATCCTATTCTAAGGATTGACGACTTGTTTTATCAACTTCAAGGGGCCAGTTATTTCTCAAAAAATGATCTTCGTTCGGGTTATCACCAATTGAGGGTAAAGGATAGTGATATTCCGAATATGGTTTTCCGAACTCAATATGGTCATTATAAGTTTTTGGTAATATCATTTGGGTTAACTAATGCTCCGACGACGTTTATGGATTTGATGAATAAGGTGTTTAGACAATACCTTGATATGTTCGTAATTGTATTTATCGATGATATTTTGATCTATTCGAGAAGTGAGTAAGAGCATGTTGATCATTTGAGGATCATGTTGCAAGTTCTTAAGGACCAACAACTTCTTTCAAATTTTAGCAAGTGTTAATTTTGGCTAAGGTCCGTATATTGTGTCGAGTAAGGGTATTGAGGTAGATCCTAGCAAGATGGAAACGATCAAGAATTGGCCTAGACCTCTATCTCCTTCTAATATTAGAAGCCTTTTGGGTTTGGCCGATTACTATAGAAGGTTTGTTGAGGGATTTTCTTCCATTGCTTCTCCTTTGACGGCTTTGATTCAAAAGACGGCTAAGTTTGTGTGGTTGGAAGCTTGTAAGAAACGTTTCCAAGAGTTGAAACATAGACTTACTTCCGCTCCGGTGTTGACCTTACCAGAAGGTACAGATGGTTTTGTGGTGTATTGTGATGCCTCTAGAGTTGGGTTGGGATGTGTGCTTATGCAAAATGGTAAGGTGATTGACTATGCTTCAAGGCAACTTAAGATCCATGAGAATAATTATCCTACCCATGACTTTGAGTTAGCGGCGGTTGTGTTTGCCTTAAAAATATGGAGGCATTATTTATATGGGGTCCATGTGGATATTTTCACTGATCATAAGAGTCTACAATATGTTTTTAGTCAAAAGGACTTGAATCTTCACCAAAGAAGGTGGCTAGAACTCTTGAAGGATTATGACATGAGTGTCCTTTATCACCCTGGTAAAGCTAATGTGTTAGCGAATGCTCTTAGTAGATTGTCAATGGGTAGTGTGGCTCATGTAGATGAAGAAAAGAAAGAGTTGGTTCGTGATGTTCATAGGTTGGCCCGACTGTGTGTTCAACTAGTGGATTCCACCAAGGGTGGTGTTATGGTTCATAATGGGTCCAAATCATCTTTTGTGATGGATTTGAAGGCTAAGCAAGGTCTTGATCCCATTTTGGTTGAATTGAAAGAGGCGATACTCAAAAAGTCCATTGAGTCTTTCTTCCAAGGGGGAGATGGGGTACTTAGGAATCAAGGTCGGTTATGTGTTCTGAATGTTGATGACTTGAGAGAATAGATCTTGCCATAAGTTCATAGTTCTCGGTATTTTATTCACTCGGGAGCCACCAAGATGTACCGTGATCTACGGGAAGTCTATTGGTGGAATGGGATGAAGAAAGATATTGCGGGATTTGTGGCCAAGTTTCCCAATTGTTATCAAGTGAAGGTTGAGTACCAAAGGCCTGAAAGGTTGTCCCAAGACATTGCTATTCCTACTTGGAAGTGGGAAGACTTGAATATGGACTTTATAGTTTGTTTGCCTTGCACCCGGCGACAACATGACTCTGTATGGGTAATAGTAGATTGGATGACGAAATTGACTCATTTTCTTCCTGTCAAGGTTTCTTATTCGGCGGAGGACTATGCTAAGATGTATTTGAGAGAGATTGTAAAATTGCATGGTGTGCCTTTGTCTATCATTTCCAATCGAGGTACCCAATTCACTTCTCAATTTTGGAAGTCATTCCAAAAGGGTCTTGGTACCAAGGTTAAGTTTAGCACGACTTTTCATCCCCAAACTGATGGGCAAGCGAAGCACACTATCCAAACTTTGGAAGACATGTTAAGGGATTGTGGGATTGATTTTAAGGGTAATTGGGATGACCATTTGCCATTGATGGAGTTTGCCTATAATAATAGCTATCACTCGAGTATTGGTATGGCTCCTTTTGAGGCTCTTTATGGTAGAAGGTGTAGATCTCCTATAGGTTGGTTTGAGGTGGGTGAAGTCACTTTGATAGGTCCTAAGCTAGTTAATGAAGCCATTGAGAAAGTTTGGCTTATTAGAGAAAGGTTGAAAATGGCTCAAAGTCGACCAAAGTCTTATGTCGATGTTAGAAGAAGGGATCTTGAGTTCAATGTTCATGATTGGGTTTAATTGAAAATCTCACCTATGAAGGGTGTGATGAGGTTTGGTAAGAAATAAAAGCTTAGTCCCTGGTATGTAGGTATATCAAATTATGAGACGTGTTGGTAATGTTGGTTATGAGTTAGATTTGCCAAATGTGTTGGCATCGGTGCATTCGGTTTTCCATGTCTCTATGCTTAAGAAGTGTGTTGGAGATCCGACATCCATAATTCTCCTATAAGGGTTGGGAGTTGATGAAAGTATCTCTTATGAGGAAGTTCTGGTTGAGATTTTGGACCGGCAAGTTAAGAAGCTAAGGAATAAGTAAGTTGCTTCCGTAAAAGTGTTGTGGAAGAATCATTTAGTTGAGGGTGCTACTTGGGAGGCCAAAGCCGATATGATGTCCCAATATCCTTATTTTTTTTCCTTGTACTCCTACTCTAACTTGAGGTGATGAGTTCCTCTTGGGTTGTTTTATGTGTTGGGAGTCATGTGTGATTATATGTTTCCATGATTTTCTTATGATTATGCATGTTCATGTAAAAGGCTTAAGTTTTGAAAATAATGACTTGTATGATTTATTTTTCCTCATGTTGTTGTGCATTGAATATGAGTTGCCTATAGACTTCATGAGATGATTGTTGAACATGCATTAGCTATGCCTTTTTAGAATGAACTGCACGAGGGCTTCATGAAATTGTGTTGAGCATGTTTATAGTTTGGAGAAGGTAGTTCCTCCTTAGATATGAGAAATTTTGAATTTCATGCATATTGGGTTGCTAAATGTAGTTCTGACCTCGTTGTGATGCATTTGAGTATGTTGAGTTTGGAGCTGATGTGTCCTCCTTATTTATGTGTATTGCTTGCATAATGGGCTGATATAGATAGTTCACCCCTCTTTAGATGTTTTGAGAACGTCCTTGCTTGGAGTCGAAAGTTCTTCCTTAGTTGTATGCATTGCATCGTAGGTTGGGTTGTTAGTTCCTTACCTATTCTTTTAGAATCAATTTAAAGCTCATTCGAGGAAGAATGGTCCCAAGGGGGAGATATTGTAACGAGCAAAATAGCAGATTTCTAAAAAGTTGCAGGTGCCAGCCACGAGGGCCACCCACAATCCGTGGATGGGACCATAGACCGTAGGTGTGGTCCGTGGATAGTCCTGCCTAGGGATTGTCTAGAGGCCCAGGACCACATCTAGACCTACGGACCGTAGGTCAGACCACGGTTTGTGGTTTGAGGCCCAAAAATCTAGTTTCTGATGACCAACGACGGTCCACCAGGACGGGCCGTGGGTCAGACCACGGTCCGTCGACTGGGGTACGCGGGTCACTACTGTCAGTTTATTTAATGTTTCAAGCGCACCTCATCCAATTCTAGGTGTTCAACAATCGTAAATAAGTATAAAACCCAACTAAATGAGTTGGGGTCGAATCCCATAGGGAGCGGTACATGTTTAAGAGTCAATTGGGAAGTATGAACATGATCAAATCAGTCATAGGAATAAAAATTATCGAATAAAGACATCATTCAAATCAGGGGGTGACACGAATGTCAAATGGGGGGTTTTGGTTTTGATTATCAACTACAAATAGTGGCAAACAATACGAAATAACAATAATGAGATGAGTTCTTGGGATGTGATCGATTATAGTCTAATATAGACGAATGGGTAATTGCAACTATTAGTAAATAGCTAGATATTAGTGAGTAAGCTAGACAATAGTGGAGGTAAACTTTCTCTTGAACAATTTACCCCGAATCAAGTTGATTTCTCTCGAACATCAACAAGCATGCAAAATAAGACCAGCCCACACCTTAGTCCATTCACTCTCTCGAGCTGAATGTGTGGGATTGGGTTTAGGATTCACTCTCTCGAGCAGAACCCAGGTCAACCCAATACCCATAAACCATCCATAAAAAACCTTAGTTCTAGAACCTCTCTCTCGAGTAAGCCAAGAACACAAAACTAGAACTGCATTTGCAACTACAATTCTTAAATTAAACCACAATTAATGATTGAACTCACTTCTAAATAGCATTTAAACTAACAATTAGCAATACCCATAAACTAAATCAGCTCATAATCACATAATCACACCCCAAGAATTGGGGTTTTAGCTAGACATCATAAAAAAGGTAAGAACAGTTACCAAATTGATTATCCATCAACTGGGTAAGTGTAGATTCGTCCTTACAATGCTCCAATTCGAAGAATCTCAAAGACCCACTTCCAATTTCTCACAAGTGAGAAACTTCAATTCTTCGAAGCTTAGGAAAAACTAGAGAAAACTGTCTCACTAGCTAAAAACTTAATAATAGATTAAAAATATATGATCTAAGATGCTAAACTAAATGTTCAAAATATGTATTTTTAGTCGCCAAAAATGTGCTGGGAAGAGTCACTTGGCGAAGTAAGTAGGGCTCGCCGAACCACTTGGCGAGCTGCCCTTTGGTCACTTTCATCGCCCTTCTGCCTTGGCATTCAATAACCTCAAGGTCTGTAACTTTGGGCGATCTAGCACTACATCGCGGAACTACTCGGCGATCTGCCGACTGCTCTTTTCTCTCACCGACTTGATTTCTTCCATCAGGGCTTAGCACACTGGAACTTTAGGCTGTCAGATAGCCATTCAATGATTCGCCAAGTGAACTTAGCGATCACTAGGCTTCCTTTCTTCAACCTTTCAG